CACCCGCCTGCGCCTGGAGACCCCCAACGCGCCGCATCCCCTTGCGCCTCAAAACTTGCCCTCGAAATTTTAGGGGAAAAAGCCAAAGGGGGAGGCAGAGCCCCAGCAGCTCCCGCTCCCCTTGATACCTTAAGGCGATTTCGGTGACGCCCTCAGGGCTGGCTCCTGCTTCCCCACATCCCCGCACCCCGACCCTGGGGCTGCTCGGCAGCTCTGCAGCCCCCACTTTCTGCTCCCTGCTCTCCCGTCTACCAGCTCCGGGCCTTCCTGGCTTCCCGGGGAGGAACCTGGCAGCTCTGGAGCTCAGACATCTTAAAGTCCGACTTAAAGTCCGTCAGCGGCCCCGGGCTGGACCGGGACACAAAGCAGCGCGCTCTTGGTCTAACCCCTCGCTCCGCTCCCTCCCAACGCAGCCCTGTTTGCCAACATCTTTGATGGCCTTGGTGCTCTGGTTCCAACGCTGGTGCCATCTTGCAAAGAAGGGTTTAAAAATATTTATTTGCTTGGGAGACGGTGGTTGCTGTTGTTGTTGGAGATAGGGATCTCTGCTCCGCAGCGGGATCGCGGGATCGGAGTTGTTTGCATTCTGGGAATGCTCGGGAAGATGGACCGGGATAAGCACCCACAGCCCTCCTTCCCTCCGCCGGCAGCGGGCCGAGGCAGAAGGGGGTGCTGGGCCCAAGCTGCGATCCGGCAGTGCTCCGGGAAGAGCCATGCTGCTGCCGAAGGTGGATGGGGCCGGAGCGCCGCAGAAGCAGGGGTGGGAAGAGATGACCCTCACGCTCCCCTGGGGGCGAAAGCAAAGGCGGGGAGCGATCTGCGCCTCGGGGTGCTGGTGGCACGGCTGGCGTCAGAGGTCGCGGGTCCTCCAGCAGCGGATGGGTGACAAAGCGAGCGGGGAAACTGCTGATGTTTTGTTTCCCCTTTCCTCAGAAGTGGGGAGCTGCCGTCACGCCCGATGCTGAGCTGGCAGCCCCGACACTCGCTCCGAGCCCCAAAATGAGTCTTTCCCCACAGAGCCGCCAACAGGGAGCTGGCACAGCGGCAGGCGGGACATCGGGAATGGGACACAAAGGGCTCGGCTTCATCGCAGCCCGCTGTTCGCCTCCAACCAGAGTTATGACTTTTCCCCTCCTTGGATGGACACCATCCGACGTCAGCGCAGTCCCGACCTTCACACTCAGTCTGGTGAAACATTAAAGCTCTTCTGTCCTGAAAAACCGCTGCGCAGCTGGGAGAGCGGAGCTTCACAGGCAGCCGCTCCGGGAGCGGGGAGCTGGAGTTCCTCCCGCTGTTGCCTTTTGCTTTGGTTTTCCTGCAGGTGAAAAAATCCCCCGATGTAAAAATCAGAAAGCAAACAGCGCGGGATCGGGGCTGGGGGTAGGGATCGGAGCTTCGAGAGCTGGCGCTCCCTCAGCCAGGCTTTTGCAACGCTGCGCAGCGCCGTGGGTGCCATCCGAGGCGAGGGCAGAGCTCGGACAAGGGTCGCAACCACCCGTTCAGAAATGGAAAAGATGAGCAGATGAAATATTTGTTACGGTGGGGAAGGACAGAACTGGAGAAGCGTGCAGAATTACCCTCGTCGTAGGGCCTAACGCTCGACAGCACCGGCTCGCTCTCGCAAGAACGGATCAGCCTCTTGTACGTTCTAGCATTCCGCCCGTCGGACCCTTGGTTTTGCAAGCGAGGAAACCGAGGCGCAGGGAGGAGACTCGCTTCACGTACGGCTTCTACGTTCGGCCCTTTGCCACCCAGCTGCGGGTTTGCAATTGCCCTCGTTCGCGGCAGGGACTGAGCAAAAGTTGCTCCTTTCTTTTTGAAAACGACTCTCAGGGTCGTCCTGAAAGGGGAATTCCACTTCCTTAGTACACGGGCAGGGTGCAGCCCTAGCCCTAGGGCTTGCAGGAAGGTCCGCTGGCTTCGGCAGCCCTTGGGCACGGGCATAATTGCAAGAAAAGAAGGTCCTGAAGAGGCCACCTGCTCACCCCCGCCCCATTCCAAAGAGGAATCTTGATTTTTTTTAACTGTTTGCACAACTTGATGTTAAAGCCCCCAGCAAGGCCACCCATCGCTTTCCGTGGGCAGTCCATTCCACCGTCAGCCCTTCTGCGTTACCGAGTTGCTCTGACCCCCAGTCATGCAGTTAATCCCAGTTAATTTGTCTCCCTTCCCAGTGCCGCTCTCTGGTTAAGCGTTTGAGGATTATTCCTCACGCCTCTCCCCGGCCTTCTCCAGACTAAACAAACCCGTTTCCTTCCATCTGTCCTTGCAGGTCGTGTTTTTCCTACACCTCTGCTCATTCTCACTGCTCTCCCCTGGACTCCCTCCAGCTCCTCGCAGAACTGGACATTAATATCTAAGAGAATTATTTCCCATGTCTGGCAAACAGCTCTCCTGTTTACACATTCCACAGGGGTGTTTGCCTTTTTTTTTCCCCACTCTGTTGCAAGAACATGACTTTTTTTGACTCCTGCTATGCTTCACCGCAACCCCTAATTTCCTTCTGAAAGCCCTTAGGAATTGCACCAGATTAAGGATGGAGCTGCTCCCCCTGCTAGGACTGAACTCTGGCTCCAAGTCCTGCTTCCAGACCAAGCGTCAGGCTTTTCTCTGGAATATCCAGTAGCCAATATCCCTTGACCCAGGAGATGAGCAACAAGAAAACGAGCACTCCACAGACCTGCAAGCCTTTTTTGATGCCAAAAACCTCCAGATATAAGCTCCCCGATCGACACCTGGGTAGCAGAGGTAGGCGAGCATCTGTTCGGCTCACCTAGCAGCCCTGCCGCACCGGAGCTGCCCGTCATGCCGAGCAACAGCCGCCCGCGCAGTTGAAAAAGCCTTGGAAGTTACAGCGAGCGTCCCAGGAGTTGCGGAGTCAAACGTTGGCTTTGTGTCCTAGCCCTGGGCAGGAACAGGGGAGAACGCCAGCTTCTGAAACAAGCCAGGCCCAGCACTCTGCAAGGGAACTCGGAACAGCTGGCAGCGACGGACGGGGCGTGATGTTGGATCTGGCTCGGATTCGCCTCCTGAGACCGAAGGCTGTGAGAGCGAGAGAGAACAGCAACGCCGTCTTCCAGCTGTGGGAACCAAAGCAGCAAAAACACAAGGCTAGACACCAGGGAACGGCCCTCCGTGCGAGGAGGAACAGCCCGCGTTATCTAAAACTACATTTCTGTGGGACACAGACGCAAGAACTTCCCTGATCTCGGCGTAAAGATACTGAGCTTTACAGCGGTTCTAATTTGTGCCGGTTCCCATAATCCCTGGAAAACAGGTAAAGAGAGCTCTCCTCTTCCCAGAAAGCCTTAAAGCTGACCGATACCTGCTGCCGCCATCCATGCAGCAGTCCAAATGCGGAGTCCATCTCCGATACCTGCGCTGTCCGTAGGGCACCGCTCCAAAGACTTGCTCGGAGAGGATGACGCTATCTTGCTTCCTCGCCTTCCTGGTATTGTACAGAAAAACATCTCCCTGTATTCCTCCTACGTGGCAGCTGTTCCTTCCAGGTAGAAGAGCCATCTCCTCTGCAGCTCTTGCTACCGAAACATCCTCCTAATGCACCTTTCCTGGTTTTCTCTGACTATAAAAAGTTCCTCAAGAAGAATCTCACTCCTTCCCTGTGGGGGAATTTTTTTTTGTTACCATTTCCCCCCGCCCCCCCTCCTCGTAAGTCTTAAATTGGAAGGCAAAACATGCAAGCCAGAGCAGGAGACCAGCAAGCCTCTAGAGCTGTGCAGAACCCTGTTAATTTAGTTGAACTAATTAGGAGATCTGGTGATAGAGAGCTGCCGCGCCTTTCCTCTGCAAATACTTGTGTTCTCTTTTTGAGTTTAAGGTATGCCGAAGCCATAAATGTGTGAGAAGCTTCAGGTGCAGAGTGCTTCCGTGATTCACACTGTGGCCACGATTTAAAAAGTGCTTAAAAATACTCGTTCGAGTCTTGTCAGGCAGTCGTGGGATTGAACCTTGACTTCTTGGTTCCAAGGAAAACATTTCAGCAGATCACAGGTAGCTTCAGTCACAGACGGGCTTCCCACGTGTTATTCCTAAACCTCAGCCGCTCCCGGATTTAACTTCCCCTCAGAAACGTCAGCTCCATGAGTAGGAATAATGAGGTGTAGAGAAGCGAACTGACTAGTGATTTTTATAGCAAACGACAGATTTCAGGTTTGCTTAACAGCAAGACGGTGCTCGACCCCTGCTGTGCTTACCCGAGTAATTTAGATGGAGGGCTGCCGCGATCCGAGCGCTGACCTGACTCTGCTTTAGTTTCAGGGGTGCCCGTTTGACACCACAGCCAACATGAACGTGGGAACAGCACACAGCGAGGTGAATCCCAACACCCGTGTCATGAACAGCCGGGGCATCTGGTTGTCCTACGTCCTTGGAATTGGCCTGCTGCACGTCGTACTCCTGAGCATCCCCTTCTTCAGCGTCCCTGTGGTTTGGACTCTTACCAACATCATTCACAACATGGTAAGGGAACTGCGTGGCTTGCTTGGCTTCCCGGGGCACGGAGAGGTGATCTCTCGGCACCAGCTGTTCTTTCAGGAGCAATCTAGTAAGATTCTTTCGGAAACAATTCCTTTCTCTGTATTTCCAAAGATGCGGGCTAAGTTACTCAACCTCCACCCCTCAGACTGCACCTTTGCCTCCAGGTCATGTATTTAAATCCAGCCTAGGTGCTGATGAGACAGCAAACATCTGGTGAGGCTGCTCAGAGGGGACACTGCATTTATTTACCTGCAGTCCCTTTGTCACGTCCCCCTTAACAGAGAAATAGCTGCGGCCTCACAGAAACTGGCACGACAGCTTTCACTTTGGTTGATACAATCTGAATTGGTCTCATCAGAGTTATTAAAACCCCAACTTTTTTTCCCCCGCTTAAAGTAAAAGATTAGTCCAGGAACAGATTCTCCCCTCCTAAGGCTCAGGTACCCAAATGAACAGGTGTCAGAGCGTTGTGCTAGGGGTGCACAGGTAAGCGCAGCCGACAGCCGCAGGGCTCCTGGGCTCTCTGCGATGCCAGAAGCTGCTGCCTTGGCGCATCGCTGTCCTGTGCTGCACCCTGACAAAGCTGCGGCCACACAGCAACAGCTTCCCTAGGGAGCAGGAGAAAACCGTGCTCCGCTTTAACCGCTCGCTTCTGTGCCTCCGCCATCCCGCTGCGCAAGTCTTGGCATGCTTGGGTCCTACAGCTGAGGAGCAGAGCTCTGGGCAGTCGTTCACCCTCAGGAACCGTGCTCCGCTTTAACCGCTCGCTTCTGTGCCTCTGCCATCCCCCGCTGCGCAAGTCTTGGCATGTTTGGGTCCTACAGCTGAGGAGCGGAGCTCTGGGCAGCCGTTCACCCTCAGGAATAGGGGACAAAATATTGCAGAGCTGCAGCAATCGATTTTGTAGCCTTTATTTTAATTAACATCTCAGGCCGAGACTATTCCAGAGACAAAAGTGACACCCTTCTTAGGGACCCTCATGCTCAAGTTATTGACATCTCTAGCAGAAAAAAAAGAAGAAACACAAACCACAAAAGCACCAAGCAGGGCTGCTCAGGGCTCGGTCCACAAGCTGCCTGGTTTTCATCCAGCTCCTTCCCCTTCTCTGGCAGCTTAAACAATTAGGTCCTGGGCACAGAAAGGAGTTTAAAGGCTATGGCTATACTTAGCCATACGCTATGGCTACGGCAGTGGCTATACTTAAAAGACACGTGACGTAGCCGGGCACTTGCTGTTTATCTGTGACGTGCACTCCACTTCAAGAGGTTAACTCGCAATCAGAGCGGTAACAGACCCTCACTGCCTACAGCTCTACCAGCGCTTTTTCAGAAAGCATTTAGCATTGCTGTTGCACAAGAGAGCAAGTCCCTGCTCATCTCCTGATCCCAGAGATCTGAGCACTGTAATCTTGCAAGCACCTTCTCGGCATATGCCCAGGGGCTGAACAAGAGGCCTCACGTCTAACAGCCAAGCCCGAGCTAGCCCCGGCTAGCGGCCTTCCTCCCCAACTCTCGCTGCTTCGTTAGCTGCTGCGAGCTCGAGTGCCTTTTCCAGCAGCAGCCATGTGTCCCTCTAGTGGAACAGCGCGCTGGTGCAAGCTCCCACAACCGTACAGTTCTCGCTGAAGTTGAACGTTTCTGGTGGCATAGAGAACACTGCGTGCGCTTCACACTGCGTTTGTATTTGCTGCAGAGTATGTACATCTTCCTACATACCGTGAAAGGAACCCCCTTCGAGACGCCGGACCAGGGGAAGGCTCGGCTGCTGACGCACTGGGAGCAGATGGACTACGGCGTGCAGTTCACGGCGTCGCGCAAGTTCCTGACCATCACGCCCATTGTCCTGTGAGTACTTCGGGGCAGCCGAGCTGCCTCACACGCCCGTACCGATCACTGCTCCTGCTGCACATGCTGTCCTGGGAAACAAAACCATGAAGTGCCATAATTCAGTCTCTCTCTCTCTCTCTCCCCCCCCCTCCTTTCCAGGTATTTTCTAACCAGCTTTTACACAAAGTACGACCGGATACACTTCATAATCAACACCATCTCCCTCATGAGCGTCTTGATCCCCAAACTGCCTCAGTTTCATGGAGTCCGGATCTTTGGGATCAACAAGTACTGAACTGCGTGGCTGGAGCAAATTGAAGAGGAGGAGCAGGGGAAAAGGGGGAAGTTCCTTCTCTCTAGTCCTGCTTCTTCACCCCCACGCACACTGGGATACAATTTCACAGCGGCTGTTTAAATGCAGAATCCAATAGACATATACCGCATGCTGGATCCTCATGCCCAATAAATCTAAACAAGCTCCAGAGTAGAGTTTAGTGCGGAGCAGGATGCATGACGCTGGATTTCTTTTATTCCAGCATCAGAAATAGATGCAGATACACTGAGACTTCAAGGTACAAAGAGGATGAATTCTGGGGAGACTTTCATCTCGCCCAGACATTGAATGATGAGAATAGGGATGGGAGGAAAAGCTTTTAGTGCTGGTACTATTGCTGTGGTAAATGCACTTTAAAATATATTTCCCTTTCTGAAGCTAGGTGCTTTAAGTGATATTTGGGGAAAATTCAAAGGGATAAAAGCCAGACTTCCCCAATATTTGATTGTTTCAGGGTTTGAGTTCCATTTTTGGGCGGGGGAGCGGGAGGGGGAAGAGAATGACATTTTTATTTTGCAATCTTTTATGCCACTGAGGAAGGAAGTTCTTGTACTAAAAACAGTACAGGAAGGAGCAGCCTGCAATTTGACAAAGTTTTCAGTTTTTTACGGTACCATTCACGTGGTTCAGGGAAAAGGTCAATAGATCCTAAGTCGTACTTGTTCTTTTCAGCTTATACCGGAATCTGCCTGGGTAACTCTGCTCCCCACCCCAAAGTGCTGATGTTTAAGCGCACTCTGAGCGCTCAGGCAGTACAGCATTTGGATTAAGGGCCAGGGTGCAGGTCATTTTAATGATTGATAACAAATGCCACTGAGCTACTTGGTACACTGAGACTGCACAAGCACGGAGAAGCTGCAGACTGATCGGTGTAGGCCAAGCAAGAGATGGACGGCTGCTTGCTCTAATCAGTTAGTGACTATAATGGGAATTTTTCTCCTCAGTCCAGCTCCTCTGTCTCTTAAGCCTGTGTACGTGTTACTGGGATTTGTCAGTGGACTTAACTCAGTACCTGACTCAAGGCAAGCAAGCATTTGATTTCTTGCTTACCTGCAAGTCCATCACTCGCAACCGCTGCGGCAGCATCCCCTGGGTCACTGAGGATAAGAGATTATTTAGTATAGGAACAAAATTGAGCCTTTACCCCCCCCTCCCCCCGTAAAGTTACCACCTAAATAAAGTAGGTTTGCAGGTTTAGATTTCCTGGCTGCGATAGCTTTCTACTGTTCAAAGCAATTGGTTTTTCTTTTGGGTTGTGTGTCAGATGAAATGTGGTTTTCCTCACGCTTCCCCTGTAAACTCATGAAAGCCTGTATTTTTGTCGTCTTAGTGCTTATATTGTCTCACACTTTTGACAATGGTATAAACATTTTAAATGTGCTATTTTTGTTCCCGCCTTAGCCAATTCTAGCTTTAGAGGTCGTAGTGGATATTGTTGAGTTCTGTTTGACAGTCTGAGCATAGGACATGGATAAGGGAATTTCAGGTTTGCATATAAGATCTAGTACTGCTCCATGCATAATTTTAGGCAAGCTGCTTTACTGCTCTATCTCAGACTTACTATCAGACCGCTGCAGAGAAAGGAAAAAAACCCATTTAGCGTACCTCAGAGGGATGCTGGAATGCATAGAGAATCATTACCTGATATGTTTGAAAAGTGGAAATATTTTAAGCAAAAAGGAAGTTTTCAAGAACGTAGAAAGAGAAAGGAGTCTGGCTTGATACCAGAGTGCTGTTCTCCAGAGAGGGAGTTTGACAGACGTGCAGTTTACTTGATGGGGAGGTTAAACCTTTTAACCCCCATGACATAAGGACTGCTGCTTTAGTTAAGGTACCATATACCCTAAAGCAAATATACTCTTTAAGCTACTAGACAATGACTTTTGGAAAAAAAAAAAAAATGTAAAATACTGTTTTTAAAATGGAGATATTTCATCAGTCAGCTAAGAACCTTTGAAATGACTTAAGAAATCAACAGTGTCCATGCCCAGGATGCTTATGGAAAGACCGCTGCCCTCAAGAGCTGTAGAGCCTTGTCCTTAACAGGGTGGCTGAGGCTGAATCTGTGATGCAGACTGTATGTTGCTCAACAAATCTGAATGTCTGCCCACAGCCACCGCTTATAGTAAATCTCCAGGGGAAAGACAACTATTTATTTATTTTGTTTTAATACAAAGGGAAAAACCTCAACTTTTTTGCAACAGAAACAGTCTCTATATGCTTAAAAACATTACTGTTATGTAGCCAGATATATACTGATTATTTCTAAGTATATGCACGTTACACAAAGCAGTTTTGATATTTTTGTTATAAGCATAAAGTGAAGGTTGGGGTCAGCTCTTCTCGAGGAAGCACAGCACTTCACACTGCTTCCCTGAAGGCCTTGGCATTACAACAGCTGAGGATTTGACCATGTTATCTGTGCTGTTAACTGGCACTATGGCTATCTGATTCTGTTTTGTTTAATTAAAGATCAACTGTAAAATAGAATGGGATTACCAGCTTCTCAAAAAGGCCGTTTTTAAAGCCTGAGGTCTAAAACTTCATGTTAGGCAAAGCCTTAATTATAATAGCAAGCTTTTACTGATTTACCTTGTTCTCACAAATGATTAAAATGGCGTTACACGGATGCGTGTTACGTGGCAAGTGACATGCTTCACAGCACAGGGAATAGCATTTTTGACATGGAATAACTTCAGTTAACTTGGACTCATATAGTTAATCCAATCAAGGGAAACATAAAATGAAAACTGGAGAGACAGGGAAAGAAGTGAGAGATTTGAAGGAAGATTTCATGTTAATAGTGTGGTGTGTTAAGTATCTGCTTAATTGATCGTTACTTGAACAATTATACACCTGCTAGTATCTTCCTTAAGTTCCCATCTTAAGGGTAGGTATCAGAATTAATCAAAAATAGAAAAGAAACCATAAATTAATTGTAATGAAAGTGCAGTTGCTACTTGTTAGGAGTACCTGAGGTAGTTTTAAGTGACAGAGTTTTGGGTACTGCTGATGGAGCCACCCTCATACGCCAGTTGCGTGGCTCCTTCTTGTCGGTGTCACTGGAGCAAGCAGTGCCCAATTAAGTTTCCACTTGGAAACCACCACTGCGATGGCATGGAAGTAACAGACACAGTTCTGGGCCTGCCTGAACTCCGTGCTGAAACCACTGGTAGTTTATTTGTGTTTGTTACATTCATGTAGCAGCAAGCTCAGCACTCGAAGGCTAATCTTGCACACAAAGTTAAAGAGCGTAGTCAAAACACTAAAACTCTCATGGGATAACTCATTTCTGAGAAAAGGGAGATGAGGACAGCGTGGGCAGGATGAGGGATTTTCAGACGTGTACTTGCAGCTAAATTAGCAGCGATCCAAGGGTGAAGCTTACCTTTTTTGTGGAGAACCAGAACATGAGTGCAATGACTGTCCATTCATTCTTTTAGACCATAGAATTTTCTCCAAGTACCTGCGTGAAGGAGATAATTGATTGTTATTGATTTTAAATGGGATTTTGATCACATCGCATTTGACAGATTTTCCTCTCAAACGTGTACTGGTTTTCCTGTCAGCTGGAGAATTAACAGTGCGCTCTTCCTGTGGTGACTCAGAATCAATTACTGGCTAAGTAGGTACTTAAAATTTCTCCTTTGATCTGCAATAAATGCCAAAGGAGAAAAGCTTTTGAAAACCACCACTCGAACTGGCAGAAGCCATCCCTCTGCCCTGCCATCCTGGGCAAAGCCTCTTCTACGCCACTGTCACCACCATGCATGTATTCACACAGTATGGCAGTCACTGCACCGGGAAAGCCAGGAAACAATCAAGTACTAACAGCCCGAGGCTTTGGAATTACGGATCCTGTCTTGGGATTCGTTTAATGTAGCTAACAGGACGATGTACAGTCTGACCCTTTGCAGGAAAAAGCCTTTTAAAAACAAAACCCTGAGATCTAGGGCTACTTAATTCCTGAGGTTTGTTTTTTGGAGTTTGTTTGGTTTTTTTTTTTAATCATTTAATTTTTGTTTGTTTTAATAGAAGCATGGTACTAGCCCTTGAAAAGGGGACAGCAGCTGGTTACCATTGTTAACAACACATTAGTATTTCTCATTGTGACTTACATTGCTTTATCATTGCCTATAATATCTTTTAAGCATGCAAATGTTTGCGTATACGTATCCTCCTTGGATCAGTTTAATTGAGCTAAATTAGTTGTTTGGGTTTTTTTAATGGAACATTCTGACATTGTACAAAGTTTTAGGGTTTTTTTCCAGTAGCCCTTCTTTTTGCTGTGTATACATAAGTCTCACGTAGAGAACTTTCTAAAATAAAGTGTGAATATTTTTATTACTCCTTTGTACAGTATTCTAAGAGAAACTAATAAAGTAAGTATTCATGTAAAAACTTGTGTTCGATTCCTTGAATTTTTACATGGACGGCTTTTGCTTTTAAGCAAGCGTGGCAAATGAATACTGCGTGGCAATTCCAAGCCCACCGAGCGATGGATTGCAGTAAAGCAAAGAGCTTGCAGCCCGCTGCAAGGATCCCTTTGCAAGGAACCCCCCAATGCATCGCACAAACCCTCTGCCACTGACCACGAGCCACAGAGCATGGAAACGTGCGCATCGCTGGTCAATATAGGTTAATAAAAGTGCCCCCAGTAACATAATATTGACCCCTTGTCTACACCACACCTAATTAGTTAGCTCTCCCACAGGTTTAGTGAAATCTTCCTAAACCAGAACATGCTGTTCCTCGTCCTAACAGAGCAGAAGTGCTAATGAGAAGCAGAACCGCCCTCAAAATTAAACAAGTCTTACAGGAATGATACATCTGTAGCCCAAGTTAAAGTTATCCACAGCCACTGTAACAGATCACGACAGGCTGACTCAGGTCAATGACTGAAACTTTTTGGAAGAATTATGCAGGCAACAGGCCAACAGGCCTTTTGTGCCCTAATTTAGCAGATGCTTCCGTATCTCTGAACGGAAAGGCGGGGAGAGAACATTTCCTTACCCCTGCTGCTTTAAAGAGGCCACATCGCTTGGGAAGCACAGCGGACTGCTGAGCGCGTTGCCCGCTGACCGGTAGGTGAGAAGCCGCTCACGTCACAAACAGGCAAGTACATTCTTAAGAGCTTTCGGTGTGGAAGAGGGGTGGAGCAAGCGGTCTGCTTAGCGTTCTTGTTTAGTTTTTATCTCTTTTTGAAGTCTTCCAAGGGAACGAGTCCTGTAAGTACTACTAAAATCTCACATTAAGCACAGAGGAGGATTTCCCCTCCCCAGCTCCATTGCAACACACCATCCTTTGTGACGCGACAGTTTTCCTACTTTCTGGAAGAATCAGACTAAGGCAGTCTCTTTTTTTCAGACCCCTGTGGGGCATTCGGGAGAAGGAAGATATCCCCCACCACCCACTCATCTGATCTGTAAACAGGGATCAGCAGCTCTTCTCTAACAAGACTTGATACAGTAGGGTACAGAAGAGGGGAAAGACCCGCACGCTTTTCTTCTTCTCAGTAAATACAGGAAGTTTTTTTTATTTGTAGATCAAAATTGTTCTTCATTACTGTCTTACATAAACCAGCTGAAGCAAGCAGCAGAACTGAAACTTTGGAGTAAAACCAAGCTGCAACAGGAAACCAACCATGATTTTGTTTGTCTCTCTCAAACAGCCAGCTCTCCTCTGCGGGGGATACAGGCAGAGCAGCAGGGCATACACAAGTAGCTCTGCTGGGATGATTTTTTATATTTTGGGGGAGATCTGCCATAGAACAAGCTTTCCTACTTCCCCTCTTAACCCCCATCCACTTCACAGCGCTTTCACTTCCTTGCAGTTAAGACTCTGACAAAACGATTTTTCTGATGCCCTATTTCAAAACACGGCTGAACCATTCCTGTCTGCCAGCAGTAAAAACCAGCACGTAATTGCTCAATCTTTTTTTCTTTTTTTTTTTTTAAACGTAATCAGGGCAACGCATTAATGATTAAAGCATTTAGGACCATGATAGGTCCTAGGTTAAGGAGCAACATCTAGTTTAGTAATGAAAATTATGATGGTATATACCGGTATATGCAAGGAGAAAAATCTTAATTGAAAGAACAGTAACAGACTCCAGTGCTGAAGATGAGCACCCTCAGAAACCTCGGGCTGCGTTCTCAGTCTGCACAATGACTGGGAGTTCATCAGCTAAGGGGGGTGAGCCTAAACAAGCCTCGTTAGCAAGCCACAGCTCGTACTCCCACCTCTCCTGATGCTTCCCTACCCACAGTCCTGTGAAAGCTGTGACCTTGTACCCTTGTGGGCTTCTGCAGGTTGTTAATTATTAACAACTTTTCAAAATTGCTAAAGTAACTGTTTTGTTACTTTACAACTGCCTGCTTGTACTTCAAGTAATTTTGCTTAACTTGTCTTGCCTCTTTCCTAAGGCACAAGTACACTTTGCTTTGGTTCAAGAATTCATCCAGCCACAGCAGAATGTTTAAAAGAGTCACCCAATCCGTAGTAAATCAAATGGATCCAAGAGGAGACCTGGTCCCAGTTCGCAGCATCTTAGACCACGAACATTTCAGACCCCTCTGTCTAGTGAGAAGAAAAAAAAAAGCCATCTTCCGCTCATCTCCCTGCTACAAACGGACGTGGTACACACTCGACGACGTGCTGCTGCCTGGAGAAGACGATAAAAGCACAGGTAAAGCCCATATTTATCAATCTTAAGTTCTCAATTTCCACAGAGAAAACATTTGGCTCATTTGTGACTCAACTCTACCATGTTCTATCTTTCTCATGCGCAATAGTTATAATACTGAGTCTGTGCAATTATGCTTAAGTTAATGCATCAAAATATTTCAGAGTCCCTCTTTCCCCACGGAGGTGGTCAAGATTCAAGCCAATATACAATCAAAAAAAGCGCCCGTGACAGAGTTGATGGGAGCCTAAGTTTTTGCGTCAACTCCACAAGCATAGAGCTGAAAGGAGCTGCCTCCTTGTCCAAAGGGTGGTCCATCAAGCTGGAGAAGAGCCACATACCAGTACCAAAACTTGAGGCACTGAAAACAGAAAGGTAAAGCAGACACAAAGGAAGAACACGCCCTCCAGTCATCCTCCTCTACCCTACGCCAGGTCACGCAATGTTTTTTCTAACAGCCAAAAACCAAGATTAAGACCCAAGAGCGTGCATTCTCCCTTACTATGCATGCTTCTGGAGGACAGCAAAGAGGCGATAAAGATTCCTTACACAGCTTTGTAATGCTTATAGATTTCTTTCTAATTCAGAAAGCGGGAACACCTCAACATGGAATCAAGCCATCTTTTCTCACGGTTCATACTGGAGAGGAGCGCACAGATCAGGACAGATCACCTATATGACCTGCCAGGCCACAGCCCGGCTGCCCCAGTCCCCCCTCAGACATAGAAAGGGAATGCGTTGAGGACAGTAAAAATTGCAGCCCATTTTCTGCCACCTTTTTCTCCCAGAAGCCCCTTATGTTGGCATATTTACATGTTTTCATGTCACTTGAAAGGACACAAGCATAAGGCTTTTGACTCTGAGCAGGCTACAGTACTTTTGTCATAACTCACAGGAAAACAGACACTTTTAGCCAGGGTATTGCATCCTTTTTCTCTTTCAGAAAAATAAATGTGAATCACTCCTTCATTCAACAACTAAAGAAAATACAACAAGATCTGTATGTGGTTCATGAAGCAATAGAAACCTCAGAGGAAGCCAGCTACGAGGAATCCACCGAGGCAGAAGGGAGCTTTGTGACCCAGCTTTTTGCCAAGTTTTGTGCGAAGGTTTGATTTCCGCCTCAGGAGTCAGTCCTTCCCAAACATCTGCACGCCATCCAGGCCTAGTAACAGATTTTTTTTTTTTCTCCATTGAGCAGGGCACCAGAGAGAACAAACAGAGCATAACTATACCCAAGAGCTGCACCCTGGCCTTCAGGGCAATCCAGCTGGGCATCACAGATGGATCGTGGGGTAAGTAACTTTCAGAAACCACCAACTCCCTCCATTCAGGAAACAACGTAGGAAAAAAAAAAAAAAAAACACACAAACACAAAACAACATTTTCTGAAGTTATCATTCAGCCTCCTGGCTGCCCTTAGCTCATTTGAAGACATGAACACATGCCATATGAGTGACAAATCACCTGGGAAAAGGCCATACACTATACCTAAAAGAGCTACTTGGGAAAGAGATGTAGTTTTGGGCAGGGGTTGGTAAGGAAATAAAGAGGGATACTGGAAGCCCCAGCTCTAAATTTTAGCAACTGCAGAGCTCCTGTTGAAAAATGGCACAGGGGGGTTGTTTTCTTTTCCTAGTCAGAAGAAAAGAGCCAGGGAGAAAACAGGGTGGCTGACCCTTCAGCGGGAAGATGGGTGTAAAAGATGCTTGTGCTGGACAGGTAGAAAAAGAGGGGACTGAGAGCCTGCTGTAGAATTTGAGAAACTACGTTTGGTTTGCTTCCCCTATGCTCTGCGCTTCCCACGTCTGCATGGAACTTGTTCAGTATAAGTTTTCCTTTTAATTTCCTTGTATTTTAACACACATACCAGCCAATGCAGACCTTAACATAAAGCACGTGATGGTAGGGAATGAGGCAGGGAAGGGGCAGAAGACACATGTGCTGGAGAAGAGCGCAAACACCAGTCTGACCTGCATCCAGGACCTGTACCAGTATCTCCAGACTTAAAAACAACAACTCTGGTAAAAAAAAGCTTCTAGTATTTTTCTAACTTAGCAATGTCCTTTTTATCCCATGGCAGATCTTTACTATTTCCCAAAAGAAAATGAATCAACGTTTGTATCTGATGGTAAGCAATGTATTTTATTCCTTTTGACCTGCACTACTTTTACCCTCTTTGGGCAAGATGGAATCTCTCAGGATAAACACAAACCACCAAAAGTGACATTTACTGTAGGTTACTGCCTATTACCTGAGACATGACAACTGTCTGACTCAAAATTGCCTATCGCCTTTGAAAATATTCATAGAAATGTTTCAAATTCTGAATTCAGGGGTGCCAGGGAACTTAGTGTGGGATTATCTAGTTTACAAGTGACATATTTGGACTCTTTCTGGTTTTCAGGTTTCTCACAAGGACAATTAGGAGCACTGGAGAAAGAAGTTAAAGAGAATTGTCAAATTTTCTCCATGTTGTCTTCCAATCTGTTAGTCATATTTTTAAAAGCCATCAAAGCTGTGATGAGAGACAGGAACCTCTTTGAAGAGCTGACCCAGAAAGTAAGCAAAGTTCTCCTTACTGCCAGGATTTATAAATACCAAGACATCCGCGATCACACTTCTTGCCCCAGAAATCATCTCTCCTGTGCCACAACCATCAATCCAAAAATCCTTCACTTGGCACAGCTGTCTGGTCTTCACCACCATACAGAGAAAGGTGCTTAGGACCGTGCCCCTGTCGTTCAGCCTGGAGAGGAGGAGGCTGAGGGGAGCCCTTATCGCTCCCTAAAACTGCCTGAGAGGAGGCGGGAGCCAGGGGGTGTCAGGCTCTGCTCCCAGGGAACGGGCGATGGGATGAGGGGAAACAGCCTCAAGCTGTGCCAGGGCAGGGTTAGGTTGGACATTGGGAAAAATTCCTTCCCCCAAGGGCTGTCAGGCGCTGCCCAGGGAAGGGGTCAAGTCCCCAGCCCTGGAGGAATTTAAAAGTCGGGCAGACGAGGCGTTTAGGGACAGGGTTTCATGGTGGGATGGCAGGGTTAGGGGAACAGTTGGGTTTGATGATCTTAAAGGTCTTTTCCAAACTAAACAATTCTGATTCTATGACATCAAAACATTTAAATTTCTTATTCTGTCTTTTAACTGGAGCCAGTGTGAATGCTAAAGCCTCAATTACAGCCTCATAAATAGCTTAGGGAAGGGAGACACATTACACGACCATTCATAAGCTTCTATAATTGGGCTGCAAGGGACTATCTCTTCTCTTAAATCCTGATGTTTCTTTTTCTTATTCCCTTTAGATGGAAGCAGTTCTTGATGAAACTGGTAGTTGTGAGCTGAAAACAGAAAGCCCAGACTTAAAAGACCTGTTGAGCAGCTTACAGGGTTCTCCAAGACATCTTCTCCTTAAGCTGGCAGAAGCAATCGCCTACGCTCTCGACGCATTAGATGGTAAGGCTTTCTGACCATTTTAAAAGAGAAATCCAGTAGCACCAGAGCGTTCCTACCGACAAGACTAGCAGAATTTAGGGAACTTACAGAGCGTGAGAGACTTGCAGAAGATTTACATAAAATCATTTCTTAGATTGTGGGAATGAAGGTGGTTTATGCTGAGAGCACAGACCTGGCCATAGCAACTGCTGTTCAGCAACAGTCGGAGTCGTGGAGCAGCGACTGCCCGGAGCATGACACCAAATTACCACTCTGTCCAGGAACAGCATGCACAAGGGGATCCTCAAAAAGAGGGCTTGAAATCAGAATTAAACTGTGGGTAAAGATGGCAAGATCACCTTACAGAGAGGACAGTGCAAATTCCAAGGTTCTTTTCCCACACAGCATGGTTTGAACCTCCCCTTGACCCCCTCGGTCTCTACACTCAATGTCAGAGTTGTTCATACAGCATAACAGCTGTATTTGTCTCACAGGCAGGCTGTGCTAATAATTTAGTTTAAAACATCTGAAGAACTTTTGACCAAACGGGCATTCCCTGCAAGACAGCTGACGGTCACCCTTCACGTCTCACCAGTTGTCTCCGAAACACTGGTGGTGGGGTTTTGGTAAAAACCTGTTTTAATTCTACAGAGCTAACGGAGTATCAGCTGCTGCTATTGCTGGAGTCTTTGGAAAAGAAGATTGTGTCCCAACAGCTTAAGTTGGTGAGAGAACATGGATCACATTTGGCTGAAAATGAAGGGGCGGGAGGGTGTTATTTAAGTAAAGCAACATTTAGATGATGATAAAGGTAGCAGTATCACAACTTAAGGTAACGCTGGGAAGAAGGGAAGGAATAATTGCTTCAAACTTGGCAGGGATCAAAATATTCCCTTCAGATGAAATCACCCCAAGACATGAAGACCTAAGATTTCTAACAACTGCTTTGCTGACAATAAACACTAAATTGGACACAGCTGACTACCATTTTTCTTGAAATGATAGTCAGAATTTTCTGGCTGCTTTGGCTCCAGATTTTTTAAAACACACCACAAAAACACACTCCAATTTTTAATTTCTTGGATGTAATTAATTCACAAGGAACTGGGAACTGAATACATGAGCACAATAAGTCTTTCAGGGTGAAGAGTCCCATATACAAACGTGGCTTATTTAGTGCGCCTGTAAGATGGTAAAGCACTTCAGAAGTCAAAGAGATCATTTACCTACTTAACAACTTCCACCAATGGGAGTGTTAAAATACTGACTTCGCTTTTTTTGTTGTTGCTGCGAAGGTTAAGAGCATCTTGGAACACGACACGGAACATGGGAATGGGCATTTCAGCATGGATGCCAGCTTGCTCTCCTCACAGGAAGAAGAACAAAAATTAACCATTGCGATGGTTGAGATGAGTGGAGTGAAGCTCCAGAAAGATGGGTCCGCTGTCTGGACACAAGAAGCCTTCTCAGCTGTAGCAGCCCTGTACGTGTCTCTGTACACCCTCGATCTTCTGAGTAACTCACATTAGGTTACACAGGTCCTTCCATTAGGGAAGACTTAAAGGGAATCACTTGAAAATGTATTGGGAAGTCCCTTACTGCAAACTAGTTTCTCTCTCCAAGCTTTACCCCTACATAGATGAAGCATTCCTTATTAATGCCCAGCGCTGATTAGAAACGAGTAGCAAAAGCAGACTTAAGGCAAGAAAACTCCTTACAGAAGCCAGAAGCCGATCACCAAAACCGATTTTTGTTTCCCCCCCATACGAACACAGAGTGCCAACTGAAAAACTCACTAGCCCAAATAATCACAAGCCTGTCCGTTGGACTTTATGCCATCCAAGTTTTCCTAAAAAAAAAATGCTAGCACGCAGCTGCTCATGCAATCAATAAGGCACAAAGGAGTAAGTCAGCAACAATTCACTTACCCTGGTCATATCTGTGCTTCCTCTGCAACCCAGTAAGCTGCTAAATGTCAGAAAGTTGTGGGATCACACAGCATTTTAACACACACCTGGTAAAACAGCACCTCCATCACACACCCCAGCAGCAAGGAACAAATGACAACGTTTCCGAACAATGTTACAAATACTTTGGTGACTACTGTATAAATAAAGAGAGTAACTTCTTGCTGAGTAACTGGATGTTCCTAAAGGCAAGTTTTTAAATCTGCAGGTATTTTCAGTCACCCAGCAGTGCTGCCTGTCT